GTAACTTTGTTATTAGTGAAAATACAAAGTTGTTTGAATTAGCAAACTAGTAGCATTTTTAACGCTGGTAAAAATGAGAAATAAAAAAAAAACAATTGAGAGTCGTTATTTTGATTTTTTTCAGTAAAATAACATTTTTTTAAATGGAAACCCCTGTATATTATATTTTTTTCTGTTAAAGCATCAAATTTTAAACAAAAAAGCTTACAATAACTTTTCTCCTAGGTTACAAATTGTTGAAGTTATGGCCTCCAATCTGAAACAATTAAATTGTATCGACAAACTTTATTTTCAACATCAACTTATAATCTTACAAAATACAATAACAATTTTTTTTAAAGAAGATGCTCGTAAACACCACCTTGTTCTTCAATACATTTTTGGGCACGTTTTTCAACTGCTCGAACTGTCTTAAGTATGGTCCTACCATCTATCTGGGTTATCTTTTCCCTAACTGCAGTCTTTAACGCGTCAAGGTTATCGTACCTTCGCTTGTAAATTTGGTTCTTTAAGTAACCCCACAAGAAGTAATCAAGTGGGTTTAGATCTGGTGATCTGGGAGGCCACTGTATTGGGCCATTTGTTCCTATCCACTGATCATTAAAAGTAGTACTTAGAAAATGATAAGTACCTCTGGAGTTGTGGGCAGGTGCGCCATCTTGCTGAAAATGCAGATGATGTCTACTTATAAGATCCAATTCGTCTAAGAAATTAGTCAGAATTTCTGACATAAATTCCACATATCTTTCACCAGTTAGGGTTCCCTCATAAAAGAACGGGCCAACAATTTTTGAACCAATTATACCGCACCAAACGTTGAAACTGAAACGGACTTGTGGGCCTCTTGGATGTACTAACAAAAGATTTTCTCTTGACCAATAATGGTGGTTTTTTCTATTAAACATTCCAGAATTTGAAAAATTTGATTCATCTGTCCATAAAAGGTAACGAAAGTTATTTACATTTTGGCGACAGAAGCTAAGATACCAATGGCAAAAAACAAGTCTTCTCTCTGGATCCCCTGCCAAAAGCGTTTGAACTGGTCGGTACTTATACGGAATAAATTTGTATTTTTTTAAAATCCTTTGAACAGTACCATAACTGAAATTAGAGTCCTTGAGAATATCTGCTATTGAATTCTCACGATAAGCTTCAAAATATCCAATAACTGCAATTTCCGTGGCCTCGCTTATTATGAATTCTTTTTTTGCCCTTGTTTTAGCAAAAACATTTTCGTTGCCCCTAAATTTTCGATAAAGTCTCAGAAAATATAGTTCATACGGTTGAATGCGAGCGGGATATAATTCACTGTAGTATTCTCTTGCTCTCAAGGAGGATTTTCTGCACACTAAATAGCATTCTAACATATCACACTTTTCTTCATGGGGGAACATTTTTCTTTAAATTAATGACACAATAAAGCTTATAAACAAGTTTTTACACTAATGTTTGACATTATTTGATTTTATCATTGTTTTCCAAAGCCTTCTAGTTGCGAGTATGTCCAGTTTAACAATTTGTCGCTTATCTTAATGCTGTCAAATCGCGAACGCCATGTTGTTTTCATAGCCGTCTTAATATTATAATACTGCAAATAATTAAAAATATTTATCGTTATTTTGACTTTATTTTTGACTTTAGCGGCAAAGTCATTATGAACTTTTTTGTTTAAAATTTGATGCTTTAACAGAAAAAAATATAATATACAGGGGTTTCCATTTAAAAAAATGTTATTTTACTGAAAAAAATCAAAATAACGACTCTCAATTGTTTTTTTTTATTTCTCATTTTTACCAGCGTTAAAAATGCTACTAGTTTGCTAATTTAAACAACTTTGTATTTTTACTAATAACAAAGTTACCAATGGTGGACACTTAATTTGGATAACCCTGTATACCTACTTAAGAAGATCCATTTTAAAAAAATACAACTTTAACTGAAAGCACTTTTCCGAGACATCCTGTACAAAAAAACAATGTACCTACAAGAAAAACTTGATATTGAACCGTATAACATATTTTTTTTTTATGGAAGGTCATATAAATAAGAGGGGAGGTCAATTTCTAGCCAAGCACCTGGGCCTTGATTCTAAATGAGTTTTGACCGTAGAAACTGATTTCGATGGTGCCTTGTGATGATATACTTGATTAGCTATGATAATTTTGACACTGCCATGATAATTTGAATATAGAAGCACAATATAATCAGGTGTCAAAATTTTGTGTGTATGCCAATGAAATAAGTTTTTATCTATGACTGGGCAGAAAAGTATTCTTTTTGGAATAGGTTTCTTAGGTGAAATATTCCAAATTTCAAAGTAAAGAAAAAATGCCATTTGTCATGTATACGTAGTCATGCCATAAGTTCTGTCCCTCGTTTTCAAACAAGTGTAGACCTGTTAATACTTGTCCGATTGTTTACATTGTGGTGTCAGTTGATTAAGCGCTTTTCGGGTAATTACATATACCTCAGTTTGTATTGATCTCTCGAAGCATAACGATGGAGTGGGGCAAGGCAGAGAACCGTATTGCAGTGATAGCTTTACATAAGTGTAATCACAGTGCTAGTCAGATTTTTGAACTCTTACGCGGCCTTCAAATATCGCGTAAATTTGTGTCTAGGACCATTCAGCGGTACAATGAGACGTCCTCTGTTGATGACAGGCCAAGAAGCGGAAGACCTCGTCAAGTAAGGACTCCAGCAGCCATCAAAGCCGTAAAAGCCAGGATTCAAAGGAATCCACTCCGGAAGCAGAAGATCCTATCCAGGGAAATGAAGATTCCTGTCCGGACGATGTCGCGCATCATTAAACAAGACCTAGGGCTAGGGGCTTACCGGAGACGTACGGGCCAGCGACTTACGGCCACCTTGCGACACATCAGGGCGACAAGATCCAAGAAGCTCTTGGAGAGGTACGCAGCTGGGGGATTCCGAAAGATTTTGTTCACGGATGAGAAAATCTTCACCATAGAAGAAAAATTCAACCGACAAAATGACAAAGTGTATGCAAGGAGTTCACAGGAAGCTTCGGAGATCATTCCGAGAGTTGAGAGAGGCCACCACCCTGCGTCAGTCATGGTTTGGTGGGGGGTGTCCTACGAAGGGGTCACTCAGCTCCATTTCTGTAAACAGGGCGTGAAAACAAAAGCGGCAAACTATCAGAGCGACATACTGGATCCTATCGTCAAGCCTTTAAGTGGTACATTGTTTGCCAACCAACACTGGGTCTACCAGCAGGATTCCGCCCCCGCTCACAAGGCTAAGAGTACGCAGCGCTGGCTGGAAAGCAATGTGCCAGAGTTCATTGCTGCGGAAGATTGGCCCTCAGGGAGTCCGGACCTCAATCCTTTAGACTACAAGTTGTGGGACCTGCTAGAGCAGTTGGCCTGCTCCAAAGCCCACCGTAATATCGAGTCCCTGAAAGCGGATTTGATCCGATCAGCGGCAGCTATTCCTTTGGAAGCTGTGCGTGCAGTGATAGATGAGTGGCCCGCGAGATTGAAGCAGTGTGTGAAGGCCAAGGGGGGACATTTTGAATAAAACTGTTTGATTATGAATTCTAAAAATGTTGTCGAATAAATAATATCTTTCATATAAATATGTCTTATCTTGTTTCATTTTTATCATGAGATTATCATGGGACAGAACTTATGGCACGACTACGTAAATTGACCTATATTCAACACAATATGACAGCAATGGTCAGGTCAGTCAAGTCATCGTTGGTTGTCAGAGCGGTCCATGGGACCTTAGCTCTTGAGTCACAGTGTCAGTTTGTAAGTCTGTCAGGTCTGGTAACCTAGAAACCAGACAATTTTAAGGAAAAAAGGGAAGGAAAGGAGAGAAGGAAGAACAAGAACAAAGGGGAAGAAGAGAATCTTTTAGGATTTAGGCATTGTTAAAATCACTTCACAGATTTTCGATATGGTCTAAAAATACTTGATTTTTCTTAAGATTTTGTCAAAATGCTCCAATTTTGGTTGTTCTAGGTTCACGAATTAATTCTGATTACAGTGCGAGCCGCGGCCTTTTGGGCTTGCGAACTTGTTCAACTGTGTAGTCCACTGACTCGCGCATCAGACGGTTGCTGTGCGACTCTGTTAGGCTATAGCGCAGCTGCGCCTGTTGCTTAATGAAGTCCCTTAGGTGAGGGACATTGAGGTCTCTATGAAGAGTTTTACAGCAATGGTATGTGCATTTATTTGTTGCTAGATGTTGGCGAACTATTAGTGACAATAGTACAGTCAAATCATTTTTATTTTTTTAATCCTCTTCAAAACCTCCTCTAAACATATTTGGCAAAGTATCAGAAAATGGCTTTTACTACTGCTAGCAGAATGACATAAATAAAAAAAAACTTTATCACCTTACTATCATCTGAAACTGAAAACTAGTCATTAGATAAATCTGCATCCATTAGGTGTGAAAAAATTCTATTAAAAGCATTACTAACTACTGTTATTGTTTTGTAAATGTTGTTTAGTTACATTGTTTGAGAAGGCCACTACTAATCTCACACATATGAGGAAATAATAAAAATGCTCAACCAACAATAGCTTACATCTCAAGCTAAGTAAGTAATGTACTATTCTTGTGTGGCAAAGTGCCACTTTGCTAACTTAATGCATAAATGACTATTCTACAACTGCAGCAATGTATCCTTTTATCTTAGGTCCAATTGCAACAAGCAGGGAATTTTTACAGCTCTAGAGCGGAATACCAATGCTGTCATTTGTGATTACTTCTGGATAAAGGTTGACTTTGAATGCTAGGCTAGACTGAACGCAGTACCGGCTCCGATACTCAAGACGACGTATTTAATATGCCGTGATATCGGCATCACAATTTCCAACGACATTTCCTTTTTAAAACAAAATCGGCGCGCCACTGGCTATCACGTAAATACGGCATAGATAAGAAAAGATTATAATAAAAGTGTCGTATATCCTTTAATTGTTGATCCATGCACAAAGAACCAATCGTGCGACAATAATACTGACCTATGAAAGGTGTTTTCGTAATGGCCCCATTCCTGGGTAGAAGGGCTAGCCGGGTGTCCTTATAACTGCCGTCCAGAGAAATATTCGACAAAAACGTTACTGCGGCTATTCTTCGCCGCGATCTCTGCCTTTTTAATGCTGTTGCCATTTAGTATGAAGCGCGATTAGGATTAGATTATTCTTAAATATTTATACAACGATGTTATGTCACTGGGACATCATAAAAAACATAGTCCTTTCTTTATACATCACCGAAGCTTTGCTACGTATGTAGAAGTCCACGCTGTTGAGCAATGCCATCAGCAGCATGTTGCACATTTTCACACCTTACTTATTCGCTATAGATACTAGATTATTATTTAAATGATGTCTTTTTATTTCATCAACAAAAACTACAAAAAAGGCCGCCGCTCTTTCCTTGCCTTGCACGCCACAAAACATATACACTACTCAACAAATGTCTATTGTCTATGCTTTGCACCGTCGATGTGCTGTCACACACGTCAGTGTGATGCGGGTCCTACACGATGCTTCCAACGTTGTATACAACAAACTGAAGAGCTTTTTTGTCATTTTCATAGTAGTAACCTAGGGTCGAAATTTTATCAAAATCCTGATAGTAGCTACTTTCAGAGTTATCATTTATTTAGTCGTTTTCGTTCGTTATGAAATGCAAGTCAATATATTTCTCAACTAGTCTTGCATTGCAACCAGACATTATAATGAAACAACTCTAAGCACTTGACAATTTATAATTTACCAGAATACATATCCTTAGACCAGCCATAACTCACCTGCGAAACGTGCAAAATATTAGCAATATGAAAAAAGTGTTGTCGCTGCTTTGTATGTATACTAATTTAATTCATTCTCCTCAAAAGTTAGCTACGAAACATAGTTTATTATTAATAGGTAGGTATTCAAATCAAAATACTTAACCCATACCACTAGTTCACCACAATCACAGCAAACAAGAAAAATAATGTTTTTCGCCGCTACTGGTTCTAACCTAAAACCATCAAACGCATGACATCTCGTGTGGGAGCGTAACGAACTGTGCTTCCAACGTTGTAACGTCCTTTGACGATCAAAAACGCCAAGAAAAGCAAAATGACAAATCGCCCTGTATGGGTAATTTGTGTAAAAATCAATTTTTTGCGCAAGAGAGATTTTGATAGTCAAGAAAAAACGCAATCACAGACGGAAAATTAAAAAGGAGTGCGACTCCGACGGGACCACAGGAGATCTAGCTACTTCCCCAAAGAGAGCTGATTCCAAAAGCAATGCCAATGATGGAAAAAAGGAAAAGCTGATAAAACCTGTAGCAGAATTAAGGAATACCAAAATGTTCGAGAAGGAGAACAAAATAATCTCCAATAAACGCAGTACGACAATCTGGCAGCCTCAAATCTTACCTCAATGGACGACGAAAGTACCAAAGAGCTGATCAATTCCCTCCACTATGACACCTACCAAGCCGACCATTAACAACTCTTCTGTGCCCTCTTCCACTATTCAACCAACCCCTCAAGCTAACGTTGTTAATGTTTTGCCTTTATCACCCCGCACTGCTGCGAGTCAGACATCGGGACAGCCCCGTCAAGCGCGAATCACACTGATAGCTGCGGGGTGGCGGGTGCTCAGCTATAAATTTATAAGACTGGGCATTTAAGTCGCTGTTGACGCGGGGATTCGCGTTATGCCTAAAACAGACGACGACTATAGGTGATTCGTCTTTTCAAAGAGGAATAGGTACCACACCACACATTTCCTCCCATGTGAAAGGAATTTACAGACCGTAATAAGAGGTATCACCGCGTCGTTTAATGTACAAGTGGACAAGGAGGAGTTAGAGCAAAAGGGATACTCCCCTTACCACATAAATCGCTCGAAGCTTAATGGCATCGTTCCTCTGCCTCTGGTGGTGGTAATACTGCCTAAGTTGACAAGTCGCAGCTGATTTTTAACGACCACGAGCTGTTGGATCTGGAAATCGGAGCCGACGTTCAAAAGAACACTCGACTTATTAGGAAGAGTCACCGCTGCCAGAGGTATGGGAACGTGCGACGTACTGCGCTGCGCCTCCCAAGTGTGTGAAATGTGTTCAGATCCACATGACACATTTGAGCCCTCATACAGAAGAAGAGGCGCGCAAATGTGCAAACTGTCCTGAGAGGCACCCGGCAAATAGTAGACCTGTAAGTTTACTCGGAGAAGGAACCTGAAGTTCATCGTTGAAAGGCGGAATAAATATTATGCGGAAGCTGCTAGCGTAGCAATCATGCCTGCGCCCGCTGTTCCAAGCTTCTCTCTAACCTCTTAGAACGTGAACTTAGCAACAGATTCAAGGTATTTATAAATAATAATCAGTCCTCTGATTAGCGCTATCCAGGCCTTGCAGGTGGTCCTTCACCAGCCACTAAATGGCTAGGTGCAGTAGCAGCGAGCCTGCATTGGTCAAAATTCTGTTTTGGAATTGTTCGTGCCCGACTGAATGGACTAGGCGAAGACTTGGCAGTGGTTATTAATGTGGTATTGACTATTACAGAAGCACAAGCGCTGAAATGCTGAACATTGAAGCAGCGCCTGTGATCGACAATATGGCGGGGAACGTTCCATTGATCGCTTCGGTGTATGTTACGTGTGGTGCCAGGCTGCGAGAAGAGGATATCTGAAAGTCCTTTAGGACTGCTGGGGTCCACTTGTTTCATCCTGATGAAATTCGCAGAGCGCCGTATCTTGTTTATGAAACAAGATATGCTCTTCATAAATTCCGAAATAAGCAATGGAGCAACTTTCTGGCGGAGATGCTTGACTCAAGTATTCCTCTCTGGAAAGTTGCGAATTCGCTCAGAAATGGAAAGCGAGAACAACTCTCGCACATCCACGGTTCTGGGGGCAGAGGAAAGGGTCGGGGTTTTCGCTGATGCTGAGGAAGGACAGATTTCTCCCAACTGTAATCTTGACAATGACTTCGACGAGGAGCAACACTTCGCCAGATCTGTCAGGAGATATTTTAGGACCAACGGCGTCAGTGGTAGTGGCGCCTCCCTTAGTGATTATTCCTCAGAGAAGTCTTCTTCAGAAGATTCCTCAACTGAAGAGTTGCAGGGCACATCAGCGGAATCTCTCAAAATCCCGCATTGCACACCGGCAGAGCTTCAAGGTCATACTAAAGACCTTAAGGTGCGTAAAGCAACTGCAGAGGATCGAATCACGTCAAAAGCTGCTTTCGTGGAAGTCCTTAACTGATCTCATGGCAATAATCAATACCAAGATAAGGATCCAGTTCTTCCCAGTGGGGTGGAAGACCGCTGATATGATTACAAAGAAGATGGGTTCGATATTCTTCTAGGATTACCGCCCCATTAGGCTACTGTCGACTTCTTCTAAGATCGATGAAAATGTGGTTCTACATCACCTTGAACATTTGTTGTCAGACCACAAGGTGATTCCTGACGTGCAATTTGGGTTTTTGTCTAAGGACAGTACGGAGTTACATGCGGTTACGCTTGTTGAGCGAGTAACCAGGGGATTCACCATTAACGAAAGTACTGACATCTTATTTCAGGATGTCTCAAAGGCATTTGACAAGGTGTAGCACAAGGGCCTCTTCTATAAATTAATCCAAAAGGGCTTTCCCTTCTGGATCCTAAGACTTTTGAAATCCTCAATTAAGGGTAGGAAATTTTGGATCAAAATGAATAAGTTTCTGTCGATAACACGGTCCATCAAAGCCGATGTCCCTCAGGGTTCGGTTCTTGGACCAATCTTTATTCACTTTTTATTCATGACGTCCCTTGCTCCGGCGACTGTGAAGTCTATCTATATGCTGATGACACTGCGCAGGTGACCCAGTCGAGTTCTGGGAATTTAGTTCACGAAAGGCTGTGAAATGCGGTGGACGAGGTATTGGAATGGGCAGATAGGGTCAGTATTCCTCAGGGTTCGTTCTTGAACCAATCTTTTATTATTTGTTCATTCATGACGTAGAACAACTATATAGTCTATCTGTATGCTGATGACACTGCATTAGTGACCCAGCCCTGTTCTGGAAACCTAGTCCATCACTAGCTACAATTTGCGGTGGAAGAAGTGTTAGAGTGGGTAAATTAGTAACTGATCAAAATTAACTACTCAAAAACACAGGCTATCTACCTGTATTGTACCAAAAAGAGTCCCCCCGTCAGAGATCTTTGTAGATGGGACTCTGATAGCGTGGAAAAATCCGTTAGATACTTTGGAGTTAAATTTGCGAAGGGTTTGATCTGGCAGAAACACAAAGAAACGCTATAAACTGAATTTCAAATACATTCCGACAACGTTATCCTATATTATGTAGATCTTCAAAATGGATTAACAGAGTCGGCTTTACAAAGTGATCATCAGACCCACCATTACATACGCATGTGCAGCCTGGTGCTTTTTAGTGAAGACGAAAATGCGAACTCGGCAGGTCCTGCCAAACAGGGGACTACGAACCATAGCCAATGTGCCATGGTATGTCTCCAACGAGACCCTACACAGAGATCTCGACATCCCTCATTTAAAGGATTACGTTAAACATCAGGCTCAGCAACTCTACGAACAAGCAGAATCGCAACATTTTGTTGCGCGAGTCAGTAGACTACACAGTCCACAATTTCGCATCAAACATCCCAGCACGTGACTCGAACTGTTAAGAAAATTGAATATAAAATAATATTTTAAGAAAACTCCAACCAAATTCTTTTTCGGCATTCAAAACTATTACGGTAATTTTCAACAATGCCTAGACGCCCTTTCTAACAGTTGAACTTCTTACTCTTTGCTCTCTCTCTTTTTTCATCGCTTTTTAGTCTACTGCTTCCTTCTGCTATGTAACCTTCTGGTTTCTGGGTCACTACGACGACAGAATAAAAAACTGTCTGACGTACTTTGACACAAAGGCAGAGGTCTTTCATAGACAATGACGAATAAGTCCAGAATGACAATCAAGTAATAAAACTCGGTACTCCTAGAATCTAGAGTTTACATTTTTGTGGGAGTATTCCGATCATTCCCCATATAGGCATGCAGCCATCTGTTGAGTAGCATTATCACTTGATATTTATGACAGTAGAAATCTCTAATAGATACACTTATTAAATTTAGAAAACATTTTATTGATGTCGCCACCTCCCAAAGCGCCCACTTAAGATTTCTAGAATTATAGGATTGATAGATATTGACACAAAGGTATTAAAGACTCAGATGGTGAAGCATTTGTGGTCTGATCAAGCGGTCCATCCATTCATCGGTTTGTCACAGGCTTTGATCTAGTGAATTTCATTAACTTGTAACAATGGGAGTCGGAAATGGAAATTCAATCTACAAAGTCCTATAAAAATTGAAAGGTCTAGAGCAGGGTTTCTCAACCTTTTTCTTGTTGAGGCTCCCCGGAC